AAAATTTTTCTTATAAAAGTTTTACTCCTTGATAAGATAAACATTCTAGGTTAATTTCCAGCCTTCTACGACGTTCACAACTAAAGATATTCGGCAAACCAGAAAGGTGGTACAAAGGTGGTAAAAAGTGGTAAAAAGTGGTGTTTCTGTCGAGATACAAAATTGGTGACAAGTCTAATTATGTTCGTAGGGGTTTTAACTACCATATTCCGTTGCTAAATCCTTGTGAACATTTAAATCCAACGGAATGCCACTTTTCCCCTTACTAAATTATTACTTCATTAATCCCCCCTCCCGCCCTACACACCTGCTTCCTAACCTGTATCTTTTTACAGAGGTGTACCTAATCTTGAAACTGAAATCGCGGCCGGGACCGGGACCAGGATTTTCACGATATTTCTATGTTGAAATGGAAAATTTTATTTTTTTAAATCTTCGGATGAAGATGAGCCTAAAATCTAATCAATCCTTCGATTTTCATTTCGATTAGTTCGATTCTTAACGTTCGTTTCATTTGTCTAAGTCAAAGTAATAATATGAATTTGAAGCTAAATTGGATTAAAAAGATCAAAATTCTGTTTTAAAAATCCTGGCTAATACAGTGGCATAACGAAGGGCCCCATCGACCCCGCTGTGCGGGGGGGGGGGGGGGGGGGGGGGGGGGGGGGGGGGGGGGGGGTGGCGCAATCTTAGGGGGGCGCCAAATCATCGTTTGAATGTGGGACAATTTCTAAAACTTAACTATGGTACTAGCAAAACTGCGCGTTTTGCTCTAGAAACACAATTTTTTTAGAGATTTTACGGGCATATCCTCTAAAATCATCTAATTTGTTATATTTTAGGGAGGGGCACTAAAAGGGGAGGGGGCGCCAACAGGGGGGTGCTTTTTTGGCATGGGCACCAACAGGCAACGTTACGCCACTGGGCCGGGACAAAAACGCCAAATCCCGGTCGAGCTCTGATCTTCACATCACGATTCATACTTTCAACATACTACGTCGTTTTTCAATTCAGAGGAATAAATGTTACAAAGGGCATTTATCTATATACAATTTTACGGTCAATCCTTTTTCCAGTGACATCAAACTCAGCTCAGTAAGTATATCGATTCATGATGATACTGGTTATTGTTATGTATCATTTAATTACAGAAGCATGAAGAGCTTGTAGTCTTCTGTATGCGTAAGGGCTGCAATCACCTTCGGATTGCAGGTTGCATGTCAAGATTTTTTTCTATTCTGTCGAGGGGGAAAAGGTACAGGAGAAAACATACTCTACGATCAACTTAAAAAGATCTTTGAACTGGAAACTAATCTCAATCTACCTTTTCTAATAATTAATGCAAAATTTGAAACTACCGAAGATGATCAAAGGACCAGATTTGAGAAAAATATCAAAACCCTATACAACATTCTGATCGACACTAACAGATTTAACACCTCTGTTGATGGTATCATGAAGGTCATCGATAAATACGATGGTCTAAAGGAAGCAATATATAAAGCGGAAAAAGAAATCAAACAACTTCAAGATCACGTGACAAACTTAACAGAAGACAAAGAACGTCAGGAAAAGATTATAAAAAGGACTGAGGAGGAAGCAGCGAAATTAAGAGAAAGTGAAAGAAACGCAAAGGAAGGCGCTGCTTGTCTTCAAGCGAAGGTAGAAAATGCAAGAAGGAATAGAGACTTTGAGTTAGTCGACCGTCTACGCCCGCAAAAAGAGAGAGCTCTGCAGGACATTGCTACATTGTTATGTATCGTGAGCAAAGAGAAAGATCTGAGAAGGAAGGCGCTGAAGCAGTGAAGCTAAGTGGAAATATAACTTACTTTGTGCTATTTTGGCAGCGCTCGCAGTTGGAGGTGTAGCAGGACTAGCAGGTGCAAAAATGGCTGGGACATTTGATGTTGCGCCTCACTTGATTCCAGTTATTGTTGAAATTTTCAAGAAACAGTTTCCCCAGTTTGGTTTGTAGGCTTCAAAGCTTATTGAGTCATATTACTGATATCATATTTTTTTGGTATGTAGCTGATACTAAGTTATTAGAGTATATTAACTAATTCCATTTTTTAAACAGCAGCATACTTTACCAGTTTTTAGTGCCATAGACTCGTCACGATTCTGAATGATAGGCTAAAAACATATATTTCTTTAATTAATATTCAACTTTTATTTTCCATATCATAGAAATTCAGTATTCATTTGTCGACTTGAATCGATCTAAGTTAAAACAGAGTTTCTCTAATAACCCTTAACAGTTTAACATTAACAATCAAGTACCATCTATGATGATTTGATGTGTTCGGTGATTGAATTCAAATAAAATGACGAATGTGTCAGTTCAAAATACTTCAAATAAACATTTAACATAAGAGCTCAACATTTCTCCAGTCAATTAATTACAATCAACAAGTTTTAAGAAAATTCCTGAATATCATGATTCATGAAAAAGGATTCGGCAATTGGACAAAAATGGAAAATTGATATCCATCTGTCTATATCACTCATTGCTGTTTTGTTTATTGATATAACTTAGAGGGTTGAGGTCTAACTATGAACTATCGATGAACAACTGCAATGTCACAATGTTTTGTTTCTCAAAATCTAGGAGCGTCGTCGCGAATTCGAAAATTTCAAACCAACTAAACAAAGGAATTGAATATACGGCAAGAGAAAAGAATAACACAAATATTTCAACGTACGAGGCTCCTCTTTTCCTTTTGTTAATGTTTGACTGACTACAAAATCTTTCCGCAGCTATATCTAAAGAAAGATCATCACACCTCACAAGCTAATTTTCTGGTTGCAAAACTTTGAAGGGAATGCCACTCTCGAATTCCTTCACAAAATGGAGCCTGATACTGGCCTGCTACTTGCACTCCACCCTCCATTTGGAGGACAGTACCACAAAGGACTGCCTGTACCAGCAGAAGGTGATAATCTCCGCGCCGTACCTAGAGTTTGCAATCTCGCCAGGTCTGACATGTTGGAAGTATTGTTATTACTTGGAGAACTGCACTGCCATCTCCTTTGCACTCGAGACCTCCTCACTCTGTAGTTTGTACGATGAACGCCATCTGGGCTTCAAAAATGCTCGCTATGACAAAAACGTATCCATCTACTCAGGGGAGAGGACATGTCTGCAGCTGGTGGAGGTTCAACGGAAATTTGAAATGGCGAGAAAAGACGGGATCTACATCCGGCAAGTGAAAACAGGGATGTGTTTGAAGGTAAGTTCGGTGCCCTGGAGTTGGGGAGACGAAAAGCTGACCTGGACAAAGGACTGCAGGGCTAATAACACTACATCCACTCTGTGGCGCATCAACAAACTGGAGAAGATCACCAAGGGCTACATCGTCAGGATAACGGACATGGATTCAAGAAAGTGTGTGACTGTGAGGGTGATGTCACATGAGCATGAGATGTATTCTCTGGCGGTGCTGAAGGACTGCTCGCATGAAGAGGAAGAGAACCAGAAGATGATAATGTCACCTATTGATGTGTTGTCTGGCATGGGAAAATGGAACATAATGAGACAGGATACCTACGCCTTCGTTACAGTCACTTCACGGAGTAATCCCAGGAACGATCTGGATCTTTTGATTGGGTTTGTCATGGTGGAGCAGGAGGGCTTCTGCGAGCGGCTCAATGTGACACACGCAACTCTGCTGCTGGACAGCTCCCAACCTCTGCATTTACCAGGGGAAACAATACCAGTGCTCTGTGATCTAGGATACGGAGTAAAGGTTGCGGGAGGGTATTCCCACTATACAACCACCAAGTGTTCCAATGATATGGTGGTTCCGGAGTGCGTCAAAACAGAGTCTGTTGACTGCAAAGAAGCTTCTGGAATGGTGACCATACCATCGACTGTCTTTTACTCCGTGATAGTTGTAATAGTGCCAGCTCTGCTTCTTTTCTTCATACCTGTTGCCTGTGTTCAGCGGAAGCGGATACAGTTCCTACAGTCCCAACCAACTATCAATATCCCACTTCGAGAGATTTCCCCGGGAACTCAGAAATAAACGGTTTTCTTTAGACCACAAAGCTATTTCCGGACGTTCTATTGTTTTCCTGTTCATTGTTTCTATTTTGCAATTCTATTAAGATTTTTCAATGAGTTTCTGAGATATTTAATTACATGGCTGATTTAGTATAATGGGGGGGGGGGGGGGGGGGGGGTTCCAGGGGAACTTTAGGGAGTTTTGGGGAACTTTTTTTTGGGGAACTTCAGGAAACCTGGGGGACTTTCCCAAAGTTCCCCAAAAAATTATCAATGAAACAAATAATTTTGGGGAATTTTGGGGAACTTTTTTTTGGGGAACCTCAGAAAGTTCCCCAAAATTCCCCAAAGTTCCCCAAAAAAATTATCATGCCAAAAAAATTATCATGCTGCAAGTATCAACAAGTAAGTTAAGATTATACCTTATAATAACATACATGTTAACATTAATGGGTATTAATGTATATTAGAGAAATTTTGAATAATTTTGAATAATTTTGAATAATTTTGAATAATTTTGAATAATTTTGGGGAATTTTGGGGAACTTAGGGGAGTTTTGGGGAACTTTTTTTTGGGGAACTTCAGAAATCTTGGGGGACTTTCCCAAAGTTCCCCTTGGACCCCCCCCCCCCCCCCCCCCCCCTATAATGAATAGATTGAACAGATCTATGAAAAATATATAAAAAAAATATTCAATTTTTAAAGTAAGAAACTTCCTTTTTAGAGAAAAAGCTCTCGAAATAACTTAGGTTTGAGATGAACTTTTTAAGTAGGAAATTATAGAATTAAGCAAGCAGGGTTGATTAAGGACAAGGAACAGGACTAATTAAAAGTTATTTTTTACTGCGAATTATTATTTTAACCGTTGATTTGTTTAATTTTTGTTTAATGCTTTGACAGTTTGACAAATACAAGTAGTTTTCGTCAAATTTGCAACACATTTTGACCAATTTTCGACTTAAAGTTGCTGCTACTATTAATTAATTGGTTCATTACCTCTATCTGCCTCCTGTTTGTTGAGCTCACACCCCACCCTCAGCTTGTTAACTTGTCTCTCCAATTCTGCTGTGTTCCCCATCGTTAAAGTGGAGTTTTCAGATTTACCACCTGACAGTTAATTGTGATTGATTTTGCGTAAATCACAATTTTTTACTTGTTATTTGTCTAAATGTGATAATTGCTGTCGCTATGAAAATTAAAAAACAAAAACTTAGGATAATCTTTTACACAAAGTAAGTATCTCTACTATAATTCAGAGAATTATTTCTGCTGTCTGTACGACCGCCCACGTGCAAATTAGATGAAAAATAGGTAGTTGCGTAGTAACCATAGTAACGAGGATTGTTACACGCACGTGCACGTGCAATGATTGTTTTAACGTCATTTTAATCGGTTTTGTTGATATTACGCTGTGTTTAGTACGAGCAACATTTTATTTGGCTGTATCTTCGGTTGTGTAGGATATTTTTTGACGCGATTTAAACTTACTAACAAAGAATAATATTAGCGTCCTCCCTGTGACCACGGGTTTTCTAGTTTTAATATAAAGTAAGTGATAACTAATTTCGCCATCAAACCTGCGCTCTACCGGCAGCGGTATCCACATTCCACTCGTACTACCAAATAATCAACTATTTAATTGAACAGTAGACATGGATACTGGTGGGGAAGTGAGCCATGTTTTTTCAGACACGTGACATTGGTTCGTTAATCCAATTGGTCGCTGTTGGGACCCCAATAGGTTATGGGTATCACGTGTCACAGAAAATATGGCTCCCTCCCCACCAGCAACCAAGGCTAATAATCTATTGATGGGTAAACTTGGTACCTTGGAGTAGTTCGATCTCTAACTGCAACCTCTCCACATCATCTTTAGCTCCCAGCTCGACGGACCACAAATGTTCCTTTTGAACTGACGCCAAATCCTGAAGTTCCAGAATTTTCTGTTTTTGGCTATTCACCAAACTTTCTAGGTCTTGTAATTTGTTGTTCGTATTTGAGATTATATCGTCTTTTCTGGTCAGTGTAGCTTGCAGTTCCTCGCATTCCTTTTCTTTGTTGCAGATCAGGGTATCAAACTGTAAGAAGGGGTAACATTAAAAACTTCTTCTGTCCACGATTTTTGGTGTTGTTCTGAATCAGGGAATGATAGCTTCTTAGTATTGATACAAGGAGTAAAGACTTTCAGATACAAATTTTCTGAAAGTCAATAATTAATTTATTTTTAGCGACTTTTAAAAAGTAGTTATATAGAATTAGTGTCAGCCAGGACTCGAGTATAGGAGAAAAAATGTGTCGTGCAGCTTGCACTCGTACACATTGAAATATAAGTTGTATGTTTGATAAAACTTTAGTAGTAAGACCGGACCTGGAGTGACTTGTTCCTGACGATGTCTCCAAGTTCCTCCTCTAGTTCAGAAATTAGCTTGTTCTTCTCCTGAACCTGCTCCTGCGCGGCTGTAAGACGGCTCCTCAGGGAGTCTGGCTCCTGATTCTCCTTGTTCTCCTTGCTCTCTTGAGACGATAAAATCTGCGAAGGCTGAAATTAAGAATTAAAAGAACGCCGTTTAGACATTAGTTATTTAATCATAAATTATAATCAATTGATTATCATCCAACATTTAAATCGATAACAACGTTAATACTAATTACTAATTGTGGTCTATTCTGATTGCTGATGTTTAAATTCAAACACGAAGCTTAACTCTTCAGACATCCCATTATATAATGGGAAACAAATACCTGTTGAAGAGTCTCCAGTTGAGACTTGAGATTAGAGATAAGAGCGGTGTACTCGGTACAGTTATCCTTCAGTAGCGTGATATCCTTCTTATCTTGCTGGGTCACTCCTCTCATTTCCTCTAACTGGGCGTCATACTACTTTTAGATCACGTGTCGATTATAGTAAAACGATTTACCGCGGCTGTTTACTCAAACTATGCGGTAAATCTGGGTTTTATGTGGGCATCGCTCTGACGATTTTTAAGCAGTTTTAAAGATTTGAGAACACGAGGAAGTTACTGTTAGATCACAATATGAGGGACCACATGCAAAACTGGTATATCTGAACATATACCAATTTTGCGCAGGTAGCACATAGTTTTCAGGGTGAAAAGGTGCATCTTTGGAACTTTTTTTGAACAATTTTGAAGAAATTTTTGAAAAAAAGTGAAATTTTATTTTTCCAAAACTGGTATACGTTACAATATACCATTTTAGCTTTTAACAATCATGAAAACGAAAAGGTATATCTGCAGATATACCACCTTCAAGAAACTTATCTTCTATAAAACCGGTATATCTATACATATTTTATAGACTTTAGCCAACCCAAATGGTATATCTTCAGATATACCATTCTCAGTTAAATTATTTTCTTGTTTATAGTATAGAAAAAATGGTATATCGTGAGATATACCAGTTTGGAACAATTTTAGTTTTAAAAATGGTATATAGACAGATATACCATTTTTTAGAAGTTTTTTTACACATGAAATAGAATCTTTTAAATCAGTAAAATACGTTTATCTCAAAACTATCAAAAACAGATATACCAGTTTTGCATGTGGTCCCTCATATTATGATCTTTGAAACGTAACGACTGAATTATGGTGATCATGGTAATTTCTAGTGTTCCAGTTTATTACCCAGCTGTTACCCGGCTGTCACCCAGCTGTTACCTTAGTCTGAGTAGTTCTGAGATCAGACTGTAGCTGAGATTTCTCTGAGTTTGTCTGGGTAATAATCTGTCTCTCCGCTTCAACTTGTTTCCTCAGCTCCTCCAGCTCTTGTTTCCCGCCATCTGTACGAACGGATTTATCTAGTTACCCCGAATTAGGCTTAATTTTTCCGTTCATAGATACAAATAATTCACTGGGATAATTAAGATCAATGTTAAGTTAGTCAACAAGTGCTTCAAGTTACCTTTTTGGAGAGATTCTTTAGTGATCTTCTGGATAACGTCTGTCTTTTCGGTGATCTCCGTTTCCAATCTGTGCTGCTTTGTTGCACCTTCTTTCAGTTGGCATTGTAGCCTTTCAATCTGAAATCAGCATAATGTAAATTGCAACAGACGAACCAATCACAGACGAACGACAAAATTTGTGACCAGTCGGCAGTCAACTGTGATACCCTTAAATAATGAAGTAAAATCTTGTGATAGCCGGAAATTATTTGATAAACGAAAATAAAAGTGTGACTATCTCGACCGGTTAGTAACCCAGCTCACAGTTGTTACCCGGCTGTTACCCAACTGTTTCCCGGCTGTTAAGTGTTACCCGGCTGTTACCCAGCTGTTACCCGGCTGTTACCCAACTGTTTCCCGGCTGTTAAGTGTTACCCGGCTGTTACCCAGCTGTTACCCGGCTGTTACCCGGCTGTTGCCCGGCTGTTAAGTGTTACCCGGCTGTTACCCAGCTGTTACCCGGCTGTTAAGTGTTTCCCGGCTGTTAAGTGTTACCCGGCTGTTACCCAGCTGTTACCCAACTGTTTCCCGGATGTTAAGTATTACCCGGCTGTTACCCAGAGGTTACCCAGCTGTTACCCAACTGTTTCCCGGCTGTTAAGTGTTACCCGGCTGTTACCCAGCTGTTACCCGGCTGTTAAGTGTTTCCCGGCTGTTAAGTGTTACCCGGCTGTTACCCAGCTGTTACCCGGCTGTTACCCAACTGTTTCCCGGCTGTTAAGTGTTACCCGGCTATTACCCAGCTGTTGTCCAGCTGTTGCCCGGCTATTACCCAGCTGTTACCCGGCTGTCACCCAGCTGTTACCTTAGTCTGAGTAGTTCTGAGATCAGACTGTAGCTGAGATTTCTCTGAGTTTGTCTGGGTAATAATCTGTCTCTCCACTTCAACTTGTTTCCTAAGCTCCTCAAGCTCTTGTTTTCCGCCATCTGTACGTACGGATTTATCTAGTTACCCCGAATTAGGCTTAATTTTTCCGTTCACAGATACAAATAATTCACTGGGATAATTAAGATCAATGTTAAGTTAGTCAACAAGTGCTTCAACTTTCAAGTTACCTTTTTGGAGAGATTCTTTAGTGATCTTCTGGATAACATCTGTCTTCTCGGTGATCTCCGTTTCCAATCTGTGCTGCTTTGTTGCACCTTCTTTCAGTTGGCATTGTAGCCTTTCAATCTGAAATCAGCATAATATAAATTGCAACAGACGGACCAATCACAGACGAACGACAAAATTTGTGACCAGTCAACTGTGATACCCTTAAATAATGAAGTAAAATCTTGTGATACTGATAGCGAGAAATTATTTGATAAACGAAAATAAAAGTGTGACTATCTCGACCGGTTAGTAACCGGCGGTTACCTGCTGTGCGTTAGCAGCCTTCAGGTCGTTACATTCCTTTTCCCAGAATGTGGACAGCTTTGTCGCCTCCTCCAAGTCTTGGAACATCCTCTTTATCTCGTTCTCTTTCTCTGATATCGAGTTCGCAAACCTATATAGGATGGAAAAGCAGGTGATGATTCAAATTTCAATGGTTTTCAAGCTTATTTCAGATACGTGCTTTACAAGTGAAATTCAAATGATTACATCGTGCCCACAGATTTTCTCTTTAACACAGTCGCTTTTTAACAAAATTACATTATCAATTCTCATTGTTAATTTTCCCCCTCAAATGTACTGACCTCTCCTTTTCCTGATTCCCGTCATGGTACAACTGCTGAGTTGTCTTAAGTTCAAGTTTTGTCTGGAACAGCTGCTGGTCTATCTCTGCTTTGAAGAGTTTGTGCTCTGATCTGGTCTGTTGCAATTCTTCGTCTAATTCCTGACATTGCTTCTTTAGAACTGTTATAGTTTCCTCTTTTTTCGTTATCTTCTCCTGACTTTCTTTACTCCCTGTAAAAAAGGATTAAATATTAACAACACGCGATTTAAATACTAAATATCATGGAGTTGTCTTTTGGGAATAAGAACTCAATCACGTGCAACGCGAAAAAAAAACCAGAATTTTCAAATTTAGTTATATACCGCGACCAGTGTAGTCATAACATACCGGTGTAACCGTTCTGTGCACGGGCATCTCTAACTTTTTTCTTGAGTTCATCAATAACACCTTTGTAGTATTGTTGAAGACCAGCCTCCACTCCCTCGTGGTATCTATCTTCTCGCTCCTTTTGAGCTGCCAAATCCTCCCTGAGATAGCATGCTGTAAAAACTCAGATTTTCGATATTTTTGTAAGTCCCAGTAATACTTCGTCCGGCTGTGGGCTCATCATGTAATATTAAAACTATGAAATTTGAAAAGTGCTGAGTATTTTCACTTACTCGTGATTCTTTCTCATCCTCTTTATTCTCTGTTGCACTTCTCCCAGCACTTCTGTTCTTATCTCGTACCTGGAGATAAGATATTTATAAGGATATAATCAGACCACTGAGTATCATCATTTCATGACTCAAAGTCATATACAATGTTCCGTATAAGATGGCATTCGTAGGAGATTTCATTATATTTCACTACTTCTATTATTTATCGATCGTGAATCATTCGATATTCACGATCGATAAATAATAGAAGTAGTGAAATATAATGAAATATAGTGAAATATATAATCACTTCATCTGCTGCAAGTCTAGTTCAGACATCTTGTTCTCGTCAGAAGTTGTAGCCTGTTCTATCCTACTCGGAGGTCGGGGCAGTAGCAGAGCCTAAACGTTACGATTAAATTACAATCTGTGCAAAAAAAAAACAGATTACAGAAAGTCGACAATGGAAGGCTAAATCTTTAAAACATGCTTAGACTTGAAAGTGGAACAAGATTCGGCCGTCGGTATCATAACATTACAGGAAATCCATTTTAACTGCCAATTTTGCTGTAATAAAAACAATATACCTCCGTGGCCAGAGCAGAAAACTTAAGAGCATGGATACTTTCGTCGAAGAAGTCTTTGTGCGGGTTCACACAAACAATCATAGTTATTAAACCCTCCCCCGACAGAAAGTTCTTGAACAGCCTCGTGAGTTTGCTCTCTCTGAATGGAACAATCTGGGCCTGGGTCGCTTGTCGGGGTCGGAGTTTTGAGTTGTGTTTGAGGGAGGAGATGCATTTGCCTAGAGTAAGAAGGGAGGTGTTGATGTTACCGGCCTCTTTTAGCCGCACCCCTGCTGTGTTCGTCTTACCGTACCGTTCACTTCCCGCCAAATCCACAAATGTTATCCTGGATGATGTAAAAGTTTAGGATTTGAAACTAAGCACAAATTAAACATTACATAAAAATGATATAGCTATACAACTCTGGGATTTCTCATAGTAATAATTGACAATACTCCATACTGTAATCTTTTAGAATAATTTCACTCTACTAGATCAAATAACTGACTAGATCAACTTACTGGCTGCATTTGCTTTGTTGGGAGATGGTGTTTGTAGCGATGACTGTTATTTTAAAGATGGCATGTGACCTGCTGGAGCTTTGGTTCATGCTCGTAGCAGCTTTCTGAAATAACAGTCTGTTCTACATCAAACATCAATTTATCGATCAATCAATGTCTAATATCATAGTCGTGACATATAAAGGGTGACATTTATTTTTATGACAAATCCGACAAAACAAATGAACAATTAAACAAACTGTCCTCGCCTGATCTGCATACCTTTCTATTCCTCTGGCCGTACATCAAGGCTCTGTTAGCCTCAGCAAACGAGCAGACCTCCAGCTGTGTGGCTCCCTTTACATACACCGACATCTTGTGGTCCTCCCCCAGTCTTAGCGCTTGTCGGTCACGAGGCTTCATTTCACCTGTTTAATCACATTTGATGATGGCTGAATCACGTGACTTTTGAAGATTACAATTAACAGATTTACTTTTAAAATGTAGGTCGGCCTCGGTGTATAGTGTTTACAATGTAAGGAGGCTTGATGTAACTTATGGATTGAATTATGTGCTAAATCACTTGACCATCATGTTAGACATGTCGAAAACGTGTAGTGGTGAAATATTTAAAATATAATAAACCTTGTTCGGGAGGAGGCTGAAGAAGATCGTATACATTCTCGTTATAAAGTTCCAAGTAGCTAACCCACACACTGTACTGAATGTTCTCTGGGTTGGACAGGTGGACCAACACGTTATCTGTTATCTGATAACTTGTATTTTCGTCTGAAGAAGCTGGGAGATTAGCGATTAGTTATGCCAGTTTACTTAATTTCCATGCGTTAAAATTACTGTGGAGTAGAGGAGACGACGCAATGATAACGATGATGATGACGTATGTTCCAGAATCATTATCACGCGGCAAGGCAAACTTGCGTCTCCTCCCCATCTCCAATGAAGATATTATCCAGCGGAGACTTACAGGCAGTACATTCGCTTGTCATACTCCCAATAGTACACCGAGTTGAGTTAGGATCAGTCAGCCCAGTTATTTCCAAATCCTGACGAAACACGATCATTAGTTGAATTACTCGCTGATTTTAATTTCTCTAATTCCTGACAAACCACGAAGATGAAGTTTATTTGTTTGAAATTACAATATCTATATTATATTTTAAACTTGACGAAATTTCCCCGGCAACGGGGACATAGAAGAAAAAACACCGAAAATCGACCTCAAAATGACCCTCTGGTGATGCCAAACCCAGCTCGCAAATGGAGTTGAAACCTCGCCATTTTTAGCAGGGTTGTAGAAAAAGGATAGGAATAGGCTATAGCATTCTTAGAATTTTGATTTAGGCTTTAGATTTTTTATAATTAACGTCGGAAGTGAGGTTAAATAATCGTTAGAATAATGGCGTTATTTAAGCAAAGGTTTACTGCGCTGTTGCGTAGCAACGTTAAAATGCACGTGCGCGAGCAACCACAGATTAACAACGCGCGTTGTTATGCTGTATGCTACGTCATAATTTCAAAACTAGCTCACATTTACGCTCACGCTATGACTTCTTATAACTTTGTTTGTGATTGGTATTTTTTGATGCGGTAAAAAGTATCGTTTTGGGAATCCGAATACTAACAACGCTGTCGCCATTGTTAGATAAATTCCATTATGTCTACAGTATAACAGAGCTATATGATGAAAAGAAATTAAAACATAACTGATTTTTAAAATTTCCTCGAACAAAGCTTTCGACTAGCGGGTTTCTTCGCTAGAGCTACACACAATGCTGACATTACGCCGCGCACACACAATCAACAAAAATATTGTTGTTTCCTAATTACGCAAATAACTTTGCGCAGTTAAACATCACGTGCCATTTTAAATGCCTGGCAATAATTCAATTGACTGTCATTCTCGATTGAAATATCTTCCAACGATTAACATATTTTACTCATCTGTTGTTGTTTTTCAATGCCCTTTCTTGGATCTAGACCTGCTAAACGGAGATCTCTGCACAATCGATTTGCTGTGAGAGTTAAAGATATGAAAAAGTTCAGACACCGTGACTCATCGTAAGAACCTACATATATTTAACTTTAAACGTCGTTACATTACCATTCTTGCTTTATAAATATCATCTAAAATTTGTTGTATCTGTATCTATCCACTTTAACATTAACTTTTAATTTCACTTTCAGTACCGATGACTCGATCCTTACAGATCAAGATTCCCTGAATCTCACTCAACTTTCGCGGTGCCTTAACGTACCATTAATCTCTGCTAATCTAGACGAACATCCATCAAATTCTACCAGGTATTCGATTAACCCCCAAAATATGCGTTCCACCAGCGGTGGTGGAGACGACAGTGACAGCTCTGATTCTAATGACTCCGATTCTGGTAACTCTGATTCTGATGACTCCGATTCTGGTGACTCTGGTGATTCTGGTGACTCTGACGGTGATGACAATAACAATAGTGACAACGATTCTGACAGTATTCCCGATACACCTCAAGTTCAAACCAATACAAACCACTCACGCAACCACATGTACTACCGCTCAGGTACGTGTTGATTTGATGTATTATTATTGAACTTCATAATCGACAATTTAGTCATACAAATTCTTATCTACATGCATTTTATTAAATTTAGTGATGCAATACTGGCAGAGCACAATCACAAATCATCCCCCATAACGCTCAGGTAGATACAGAGGCATGTTAAAATATCTCGCCGCTCTACATTATAGTTCTACAGCATTTGTTTGCGTAACAAACGTCGGCAGTCTCTCCATCGAGTGCACTCACTGCAAAGCACTAAGATTTCCTGGCGAGAGACCTGGTATGTGCTGCAATAATGGTAAAGTACAATTACCGACACCATTCCTTCCCATCGAAATGATTCCTCTTTTGAATGGAGAAAGTCCTCTCAGCGCTCCTTATCTTAAAAACATACAACAGTACAACAATTTGCTCAACTTTACCTCTTTTGCTGCAAATCAACAATTCATAACAGACAGAAATGGTCGGCGGCAATGGACCCCTGGTTTCAAAGTACTTGGCCAAATATACCACAGGATAGGCCCGCTCTTCCCTAGCTCTGGTCAACCAGCTGCCCATCTACAAATTTACTTTCTGAGCGAGGATGAACAGTTCGAACGTCGAACATCAATTTTTGAAGGTCTTAATGCTGACGTTATTAGGCATAACACTGCTATGATGAATAGCCATAATCCGTACGTCCGTGAATTTAAATCAGCTGTAACAACGATCAGGACCTCTGATATATCCAATCTCAAGGTGAAGATTAATATAAATTACACATTAACTTTATACCTTCTAATTTTCATATTTTACCACATCTTATAACCTATGCTTAAAATCAACTCGAATTCCAACTTAATTAAAATTTGTTTAATTCCGTTTAATTCCCAGGTTATTATACGAGCAAACCGAGCTCCTACAAACGAGCATCGAGGGAGATACAACGCTCCTTCTCGCAACAATAAAGGTGTTGCAGTTGTCTATTTATTTTTATAACAATCAATTTTTATATAATATTTTTATTTTATTTATTTTATAATTCTAACGTTTTTCCAACCTATATCCATTTATTCACATTTGTAACTCAGGTTAAATCTACACTCAACGTCCCAAGTGTTGAGTCATTTGATAGATTATGTCATTTTACCAATTTCATTCAGCACAAATTTCCTTTTTTATTTATCACAATTCTTTCATACGTAAAAACTTCAATTTGAACATATCTATCAAATGAGACGATGAGGGACCTGACATTTACCGAAATGATTCAAATGTGTAATTCATATATTTTCAGTGAAGCAGGGTTCGGGAACTAAAGCATATTTGTTGGATTGTTTGACCATTGACTAGCGATGACCGATAAATTCGAACGATAAATTCGCTCCCTTATAGTGTCCTTTAATAAAATTTTCGACTACAGCGGATTTCAACGCGCGGTGTTATGCTGTATGCTACGTCAGAATTTCACAACTAGCTCACATTTACCCTCATGACGCTATATACCTATATATATTTATAACTTTGGTTGTGATTAAAATTTTTTGATGCGGTAAAAAGTTTCGTTTTGGGGCTATGTGATGAAGAGAAATTAAAACATAACTGATGTTTAAAATTTCCTCGAACAAAGCTTTCGACTAGCGGCGGGTTTCTAGTATTCTATATAGGGGGGGGTCCAAGGGGAACTTTGGGGAGTTTTGGGGAACTTTTTTTTGGGGAACTTCAGGAAACCTGGGGGACTTTCCCAAAGTTCCCCAAAAAATTATCAATGAAACAAATAATTTTGGGGAATTTTGGGGAACTTTTTTTTGGGGAACTTCAGAAAGTTCCCCAAAATTCCCCAAAGTTCCCCAAAGTTCCCCAAAAAAATTATCATGCCAAAAAAATTATCATGCTGCAAGTATCAACAAGTAAGTTAAGATTATACCTTATAATAACATACATGTTAACATTAATGGGTATTAATGTATATTAGAGAAATTTTGAATAATTTTGAATAATTTTGAATAATTTTGAATAATTTTGGGGAATTTTGGGGAACTTTGGGGAGTTTTGGGGAACTTTTTTTTGGGGAACTTCAGAAATCTTGGGGGACTTTCCCAAAGTTCCCCAAAGTTCCCCTTGGACCCCCCCCCCCCTATATATCAGTCCATACTCTGGAGAATCATTATTATTGGAAATCATAGAGATTATATTCCGAACATACGGTCCACCTGGTATAGTGGTATGATATGATTTGTATTATTTAGTATTATTTTCAGTAAACCTGGGATGTGTTGGGAGGGTAGAGTATCCGTTGTTTCCTCTGTTCGTTCTGATGTTGCAGTTTCTCAGTCATCTTACAAACTTCACTGTGCAAATGTGGACAGAACATCGACCTTGGCTTGATGTGCGAACCTGGAAATACAAAAGTATAAGTTGGTGTGTGCTTGTTTGGAGATAAAATTAGAATTCCTAAGTTGGATCCTGTTTTCCCACCGAAACTTTACGCGCGTTTTTCGTTTCAAAAAGCGTGTGTGAATTACCAAAGCTCAAACTTTACATACATTGGCGTCAATGCGCGTTCCCATTTTAGTATGTCCAGGGTCCCTATTTTGTATTTTGTGCGCCCTCTCGTTATCTTGAGAGCAAATTTCGTCACAACTTTCAAGCTAATTCTGTGCAAGAATCGCACGATTCAACAAGCCGCAAGCGCGAGTCGCGACATCAACATACCGAGCGAGTTGAATATCAGATCCAGAGATCTGGGCAGCAGGCCGGCATCATGTCGAGGACCTTGAACTGTGTGTGTTTTGCCACTAGCGGTCACTCCGTAGGTAAAGAGTAGAGCGTTGTTCTCTAGATTCAGGCACTCGTCTGTGTGGGATTAATGTAGTTCACAAATTGGTTTACTGCCAGGTCTTAAACTTGTAACCTGCTGCAACCAATACGAAAAGAGAATGCAACTTTTAAACACAGCTATTTTTAAACACAGTGAACACAGAAGCCAATTCCATCTGACAACACTTAGCTAATCACAAATCAAACATATTTCCAGAACATTCCACCCACCTAGCAGAGGGAGAGCAGTGCTCTCAAACAGTTCAGGTTGGGTTGTACTGGGTACAAATATCTTGGAGAACTTAAACTTCTGAACGGAGAGAGTATGGTTCCGGTGAGAGTTCTTGTGAGTTTCAGAGTTCTCTGGAGCCGTTGCTACCAGGGAGACAGGATCTTCAGTGTCCACATAGTACACGTCGTTGTGCTCTTTAGTGTCCCTCAGTCGCAGGTACACCTGGTAATTGTTATTTAGTGTACAAAATATCAATGAAATGATAGCTTTCAACCAGTAAAAACACTAAAATATGGGTTCTTGATATTATGTCGAAAACGTACGGTTTCCAGAAAATGCCGATTCATCACAAGGAATAACCTTTAAAAGCGATCCAGAGGTAGAGTTATCCTGAAGTGTCGTCTCATTTCCTGACATTACACTAAAATAATGTTAGATATCACAGCCACTTGCATGAAATAAAGTCACTAGAAAAATTAAAAGTAATTTTTAATAAGTTGGGCAAATCGGTATGTGGACTACAGAGCCTTAAGGTAGTCAAATAACTTCTCGAATTTATAAATATTAAATGGGAACTATATTCAGAAACAAACAGAGAATCCCAGCAATCCCCAAAAAAAATGTTATATAATTGTGTCCTTTCAATTAAGAAACAGAATTTTATCCTACCTAAAGAGTAAAAACAAATAATTTATCTAAAACCAAAACTTTACAACAAAAAACTTCACTTCTTATCCTCCACCATGATTATGTGATAACCATGTTTCGTCTTAACTTGAACATAATCCGGTTTAGCAATAGTACTTTTAGGAAGTGCGAACGCGGCGTCCTGGAAGGGCCCGACCATGCTGCCCCGCACCATCCACCCCAGATTACCTCCACTCCCAGCCTTATCCTCGCTGTACTTTGTAGCTACTTCGTTAAACTTGAGACCCTTCTCCAGCTCGGCTAGCGCTTCCATGGATTTGGCGTGTTTCTCGCACAGAATATGGCGAACTTTCACCGAATTTAGACCTGCAGTGGATCATGTGTAATGAGGGTAATTATGTAATTATGTAATTATATAATTATGTAATTATGTAATTATGTAATTATGATTTAGTTTTATAGTTATAATTGAAATATAGCTGGATATAGTTAACAATACACTCTGTTGTCACAGCCGCACAGGATAAACAAGCCTTAAAATGCACTACAGATTTTTTTGTATTCCCAATTCCCCTTGCACATGTCCCTGTTAAATTCTAATGATATATAGTATCAGTTTACGTTCAAATGTCATGAGATTAAATTTATTGGATAATCATTTTTAACAAACCTTTCTTCTCTTTTGGTTCAGCTGCAGCACTAGCACCAGCATCTGCTTTTCCCTTACCTTTACCACCACCTCCCTTCCCGCCGCCTTTAGCAGCGCCACCACCGCCACCGCCACCGCCACCTCCTTTCTTACCCATTATCAATCTTCTAACTTAGTAGCATACCTACTATGTAATATGTATGTGTATAAGACGTGAATCTTGATATTAAATATATTGATTTTTTAATGGAAGAAGAAGTTTTGAGATGAATTGCTTTTTATGAAGACTGCGAGTCAATAAAGAACATTTTAAAGTTGCTAATTATTGCAGCTCATGCTATGAACATTTTGTTGCTTTTTTTGTACATTCCCTTCGAATAGTTGATATCTAAGACAAATGAAACAAGAATTATTATCGATTTTCATAACGTTCCAATGTGCAATCTGCTGAACGAGAATATTATGTAACTTTACGGTAAAATCTTAAACAAAAAATGGTTCTTCTTAAATAATAACCCATCAATCAACAATCTAGATTTTAATAAAAAATCATCAAATTATTCTTACTACAAAACATTTTTTAAAAATTATGGTCCATGTAGACCCCAATACAAGAAATAATCAAAATTCTTAAAAAAACATTTAATGAAACATATAAAATGATACATAAATCGGTAAATTGAATATTAAAATCAAATTTGTATTTATAAAACAGTTTGGAGGAATGCTCAGCTCTCTATGAAACAGTATCAATTCAAACGCTCTCCAGAGGAATATCATTCCAAACATACCCGGAATACAATAACTTGGCAGCTTCGTGTCTATCTCTACTACGATCCGCGCACGCCTCCGACACAACATTCACCTCATAACCCCGCATAAAGGCCTCATTTGCTGTCATTTGTACACAAACTGAGGTTATAAGCCCCGCTAAGATCAGCTTGTTAATACCCCGCTCCTGTAGGTACCCGTGTAACTCCGTTCCTAAAAACGCGTTAAATGTAGGCTTGTTAAACACTGACTCACTTCCATCATCCAGTTCTCTAGCCCAGGGTGTCGGGTCCCCGCTCAGATCGAGAGGTTTCTCCGGGTTGAACCTACGGAACTGCTGGTGCCAGCGAGTGTAGTCTGACTCTACCTCGGGAGAAGTGTCGTACTTTGCTCTGATGTGGATTATGTGAGTGCCTTTAGCGCGACAACGAGCTAGAAGTGAGGTGAGACGTTCTGCAAAGTTGGGGAAGTGTTTGTAGGTGTCGGTAGTTGGTCCGTACCATTCCGGCTGCACGTCAATGACAAGGAGAGCTGTGGAAGGCATGAGGATGAGTCCGTTATCGACCTAACAATAGGTATCATCTGAAGAACAAGCCAAAGTTAGAATCTAAATACTGTGACCAATTTAATAACATTATCCTCGTCACATGAAATATTATATCACTTAGAAATGGTGCAAGTTCCACAGCAGCGTTACCTACCTCGAGCTGAATATATATCACTTGACCATGGGCCGAGCATGTTCCACGGAACAGGTTTCATTGATATAGGAATACTATCTGGGACAAGATAAGTTATGTTAATCAAATTTCGTAAATTTTCCTTCTCACAATTCAAATCGAGGCTGTTTATCTTAATTTTCGCAGAGTGCAGACAGCAGCAGTATCGTTATATGATTTCAAGAGTTCAAGGCATATAATTCATTTACCAGCAAATTACTCACTACTGTACAGTGTTCTTGTACTAGTGTCACAACAGTGTTTAAAAGGCAATTATAATAAGGTGACCAAGTCTGTGAATAACACAAATATTCATTTATATTTTAACTTTCCCATAAGATAATATTTATATTTACAGCAGCAACAGATGGAAACTAATTTATTGTAAAATAATCAAATATTAGCATAATCGATAGGTTCAATTACTCCAACAAATTATCATACAAATTCCAAGTATTTAACTGCACTTTGATAATGTTCAAACTTTAACTGAAAACTTGCTGTTGAAGATATTGTTAGATATTTCATAATTAATTAATTAATTAACCAATTAATTATAATTTATCTCTATACACTATTATACAGTCTCCATACTATGCTTCATCTCAGATCCATTTTCGCTATTATTCAAGTACTGAAAATATTTCTCAACATCATCAATAATCTTGACTTTCAAACCTAAACCAGCTAAATCATCAACAATTTCTTCTTTCTTATTCGTCGGACAACAAACGACAATATTTGCATTCCCACCAAATATTGGCTGAAAATATTTCTTGCAGGCTTCCAGTAGCTCAGCTTGCCCTGTTTGAACAATCTTTGCTAGAGTATCTGTATCGTGTAGGATGGGAAGATCCCGGTGAATGTTTATGATATTGGTGATAGCTGAACCTGAGGGAGTTTCGTACTTTTGGATGATACCACAGGCAAGGGCTCCTTTAGCTGTTTCAATCTGAGTTTCCTCCAGTTCGTTTTCCTTGACAATGTTGTCTATAGTCTCCTTCGCAGCTAGGTAGCCTTTAGAAACATTAGTAGCTCTACCCAGGTAGAATATCAGGCTACCACTTGCTGGACCGTTGTGAAGATCATAGCTATACGCAAAGCCTTGACCACGAATCTTCTTCCACAACAGACCCTCAAGTTGACCGACATATTCAGCAAACAGGGACACAGCCACATAGTCCGGGTGGTTGTAGGACACGTCGATAGTGTGAGTAAGAATAAGGTAGCTGGATTCGTCTGTAGAAACCACTTTCAGCAGTTGCTCAGGGTTACTGTTCTGTCTTTTGAAGGAGGAAGGCAAGCGAGTTGGGATATTCGCTTTGGAGAGATGGTAAAGGTTTATCAAAGAAGTCAGTTCTTTGTCACTAAAATGATCTTCAAATATTTTCTTACTACTGGTGATGTGCAAAATGATCTTATTACCTCTGAAGAGGTCATTTTGCAGCTTTTCTAACTTTTTCACCAGTGCAGGGATATCATTTTTGAATGATTCAAGCAACGAAAGCTCAGAGAATAAGTTTCTACTGGATTTACAACTACCTGAGAATCTGGTGACAGTACTGATAGCACTAAGAACACTACTTGCTTTTCTCAATTTAACAGATATAACCGACATCATTTTATTGACAGCAGTAGTCACACGATCTTCAGTGAATATTTTGTTGCAAATAAGGTTCTTTATTAACTCTTTACATTGATCCTTGTCTTCAACAGAGAATTTAAAGAGCATCAAAACAATTTCAGTAAAAGATTCTATCTCGGCTCCGCCAACAAAAATCGAAGCATTCAGGAGAAGTTGTTCTTTGAGCTTAATAGCATCTTCATAGGGTACCTCTTTTCCACCATGAAGAAGTGCAGTGTCACAGAAGAGCTTAGCATACACCCCAAGCAGAGCTTTATCTTCCGTAGACAAATGATCAGTGTCAAATGTGAAATAAAATCGCACAAAATCACTTTCAATCTCATGGGTTATGAGTCCCTGGTCCATTCTATCCTTGTTTGTATGCAGAGGGTGAAAGCTGATACCTTCACCAATTGTGGGAGATGGAAGTTCCTCGATGATATCCTCAACCTCATCCATGTTTTTCTCATTAAACTCTATGCATTCATTAATTTCTTTCTCGCAATTTGAGAGGCCTTCAGGACCGAGCGATTTCTGTTGTTGAGAAACCCGTTCCTTCTCATTTGCCTCCAAATCATCCATGCACTTTATGCTAGGGATGCTGTTAATGGTAACATTGGGTTCCTCAATGTAATACTGCAAGAATACTTTTCCAGAAAGACTCATCATTCCCCCTCAAATTTTCCAACACTTCAAATATGTGGACAAATGTTGTAAGTTCAGTGTGTTGCTCCCCTCCGTACAACCCATCCGAGATCACCAACTCAGCCAGCATCTCTGATGGATCATTTTCAAGCTTATCTGAAAAATTAGAAATACTGTTCTTGATTTGGTTTTTCAGTCTCGCCATGTCTAAGTTACCCTGATGAGTTTCCGTCATTGTCCTCATCACAATCTCCCTAATCTCGGCATGCTTTTCAGGTTTAACACCTTTGAATATTACAGTTACTAACGTATTCGGATATTCTTCAGTAGAAATCGATATTGAAGAGCACAGGGGTTCAGGAATGTCTATCAAGGATTTTACAAGAGGAGCAGCGGAAGTACTGATCATGTAATTCCATAGAATACTATGAGCCTCAACCATTTTCATATCACTCAAAAGAGGACCCTTCCAAGTTATGGAGACTCTTCCGTTATCTTCATCCTTAGCTGGAAAGAGTACATCTGTTGTGGAGTATGTTTCAAAGAGTTTAACCTCACCTGTCCAAGGTCTTTCATACGGACCATATTTAGCTTCAGCTGCCCGGTCGTCGTTAATTGAGGACGGCGCCGAGTTGACTGTTCTTAACTTAGCAGCATATGGATCAGATATTTTACGAGTATTCACCCGTTAAAAAATTTTATAACCTTTGTCTTTTAAAAAACAAACATTTTTACATAATTTTTCATAATGCACCAAAAAGTTTTTTTAATAACCATTCAAAAAGAACTTAATGTCTAAATCATAAAAAATTCAGGTTAGCTGTCACACGTTGTAACCTGCCGCGCAGAGTGCCGCGGCTGTATTGTGGCTTCCCATTTAGTGAATACAATACACTAATATGTAATATGATGATGATGAAAATCTAATCTTATAGGAACCACCCCCCCCCCCCCCACACAATGAGCATTTTAGTACAAATAGTTATGAATGATCTGAAAATTTAAAAAAATAAAATCCCTATAAATATTTTCACCCAGTTAAAATATTTAATATACTTTATATGAAAAACATACATCATCATTAGGTGGGTTGATCAGTTACTTGTGTCATTACGACGGAGACGTCGTTATATTTTGTATCACGGCTGCGACCCACGGGTCGTTTCACTATGGTGGCGTGGCAGTAATTTGCGAGACACGCGAGAAATCTAGGTGCAATGGAAGGAGAAGGAAACTCGCGTGCGCGAGTATAGATTCAATACTTAATTGTCACCGCGTGTCTACGGTAGAGTCACATTTTAGAAGGGTCTATTTTAGTTACGTTGTATGTCGAACTTCTTCGATGATGTTGATCACAATTACAGAAAAGCTTAACCCCACAACTACTTCACAATGTTTGAACTTGCTACTCTCTCTCATCTATTCTTACTTGCTTACTTGGGGACCCCCAGGCTTAAGTGTGTGAAACAGTAAAGGGTTTCTTGGAATGAGTTTGTGACAGAAAGCATTCATCAAAATATAATTATAATTAAATTTATACACAATATAATTAAAAATAGTAAATAATTTAGAGATCTCGTATCTGCTGTGCACTGTGCAGGGACATTACAATTAATAATTAGCATTTCAATCAGAAAAATATTCAAATTTAACTCAGCATTAAGCCTAATTTTAGAAAATATTTACAGAATGGCCGCCCCATAATTCATATTTACATATCTCACAAGCGTTTGGTTAAATGGAAAATGGAGAACTTGACGCTCTAATGATGAGTGCAGAGTATTCAGAAAGCCTTGGTGCCGCAACAAAAATCAGCGAGGAATCCAGGAAGAAGAGTTTCTGCCGACTAATGCTCTGGGAAAGTTAAAACAAGCACCAAATAGTTGACAGTTCCAATGAACACCTTAGGAGTTCACAGCCTACAGCAAACAATTAAACAGGTCCTTGGTGAGAAACCACCTCCAGTGTTAAAGCAGATCCAGTTGTTCTGCACCCTCACAGTACTCCTCCACCTCAGAAGTGACATTTGAGAGGATATGACGCAGAGACTGTCAAGAGGGCTTGTTTTATTTTGGATGGGAACAGCGGCCCAAACTAAACGGGACTCAGATTTGTGGAAGCAATTCATCTGCAGCAAATCATATGGCAAGCATCAGTGACAATTGCGTGAGTCTTAGCAATTGTTGCAGGCGCTTTGTGAGAAGATATCCATCATAGCTGTCTGAAAGAGTTCACTGCATGCAGATTAATCCCTCTTGATAAAGGCCAGGATAAGAAGGAAACCGTGTAAGACCTATTGGGAAGTCGGGCGAGATATTGCGCAGAATCATGGGAAAAGCAATGGCTGGCTAATGTCTTTCAAAACTGATATTTACATTTTTGCTGGCCATCTGCAGACCTGTGCAGGGCTCAAATCAGGAATAGAGGCTTCCATTCATGCAATGGCGACAGATCGGGGAAGGACAGGACACTGAAGCAATATACAGGTTGGACGCTGTTAATGCGTTCAATCGTTCATACTAGAGAAGCAGCCTTACCAACAATGTTTCATGAGATTTGTCTCGCTCTATCCGTAATCTAAAGAACCACTACCAAAAGCCAGCGACCTGATCATTAATACTACCGAGGACACTTACCAACTTAAAGTCTGAGAAGTTAACTCGGAGATGTAGCGCAATGGATCTATGCATTAGGGGATCAAGCCTCTAGTAGAAGGACCTAGCCCCCCGCCTCCCAGCCCAGTGTTGCAATCAGTCTTGGTTTGCAGACGACAGTAGTGCCTGGTGGAAAGAGTGGAAGGTATTAGATTGGTGGGATACGCTGTTGGAGCACGGACCAAAGTATGGGATATTACCCATAAGCAGTAAGACGTCCTGATTGTGAAGTATAGCGAGGACCTAGATCTTGCGCAGAAACGTATTCTCAGCACTGGTATTGTAACATCGAGTCTGAAGGAGAAACGCCATTTGGGTGCAGCAATTGGCAGCGAACTTTTAAGAACAAATATGTCTCAGATTAAAGTCATAAATGGTGTCAGGAATCAAGCTGTTTGTCATCAAGTGCTGTTGAGGAGCCCCAAGCTGCTTTGAATGCTTATCTAAGGGAATTTGTCACGGAGGACGGTTCGATTCAGAGGACAATCACGGGTATATATACATTATTTTTTTTTTGTTCAGGGAGCAGGCTTGCCACATAGGTCCAGGAGTACCGTACGTTTAGGCAGGGTGCTAGGTTATGGAACACACTCAACTAGTATATGTAGTCTGAGAGTCCGAAATCTCCAAAAAGAGATGTATCAGAGTGTGATCCACTGCCTGGACTAATCTGTGGGGTAGAGTCATTAGACTCTTATGTCCATGGTACCTATCACCTACTAGATTAATTAATAACAAAATGGGCGGCTTATTTGTCAAGTGTTGTTCAAATTTAAATGATAAATACAATACAAAATTTGAATTTAAAATTTTTAAAACAAAATAAATATAAGGATGAAATACCTGACTGAAATAGTGAATTGTTCTGACGAATTAGAGACGTAGAACTTGTTACGACACGATATAATGCTGAAAGAAAGCTGTCTTGAAGAGGAGAGACAATTCAAAAGATGCGACACGGGTTATTTGAAATAAAGCCCTGCTCTTGAGAGAAGGAGAGACGACCCGGTATGTGAAGAAAGCCTGTGTCTGTTGAAGGAGACAAGATAAAGCATGAAACGACACGGTATGTTGAAAGAAAGCCTGTGTCTGATGATGGGACACGATAAAGCATGATACGACACGGTATGTTGAAATAAAGCCTATCTCTGAAGAAGGAGAGACGACAGGTATGCTGACAGAAGCGGTCTCTGAAGAGAGGACCAAAAACATGATACGACATGGTATGTTGAATAAAGCCTGGCTCTGAAGGAGAGATGATAGAAACTTTGAGACGACACGGTATGCTGAAGAAAGCAGCTCTGAAGAAGAAGGAGACGGAAAAAAAACAAAAAAAAAAAAAAAACTTGATACGACATGGTATGAGGTATACTAAAAGATAAGCCTGTCTCTGAAGAAGGAGATACGAATGAAAACGTGATACGACATGGTCTGTTGGAAGAAAGCCTGTCTCTGAGAAGGAGAGACGATGAAACGTGATACGACTGGTATGTTGAACGAAAGCTGTCTTGAAGAATGAGAGTACGATTAGCATGATACGACACGGTATGTTGAAGAAAGCCTGTCTCTGAAGAAGGAGAGACGTTAAAGCATGATACGACACGGTATGTTGAAGAAGCCTGTATCTGAAGTTGGAGAGACGATAAAGCAGATAACGACACGGTATGCTGAAAGAAGCCTGTCTTGATGAACGGAGACACGATAAAGCTGATTACGACCGGTTATGGTTGAATTAAAGTCTATTGGAAGTAAGTCAGACAAGCAAACGCTTCAGGTTAAATGTAGATATAAGTCGTCTCCATCATGATATAATGAATTTTGACCCAGTGATAAAAGTGCAAGAAATCGGCCTAAAAATACACATACTTAATGCAGTAAAAAGTGACAGTATCAACAAAGGGAATTTAATAACATAGACGTTAAACAAGGTATATCTCAAACGGAGTTTCTTAGAGGGTGAGAGGTTCTTCAGATAAGACCTAATGATTAAAATTAACCGGACTGTAGCGAGGAATCGAGAGTGGGAATAATATAAAAGCGAATAAATTCTAAGTTATACGAAAAAAGTGGTACGAAAAGCTTATGTCCTACCACGGGTCTAGGAAGGACCTGTGAACCAAATAAGAAGAATGCACCCGGGCAGCAGTGTTTAAAATAATACCGTTCTGGAATGCCTGCGGAGTATTTTACTCCTTAATAATGCATTATGCACGTGTTAGAAAAGTTTACCCGAAATTTAATAACATAGAAACGTATCAAGGAATATCTCCAAACGGAGTTTACTTAGTGGGGGAGAGGGTTCTTAATAAGAACCTAATGATTAAAATTAAACGGAACTGCTAGCGAGAATCGAGAGGGGAATTAAAATAAAAGCGAAATAAATTCTAAGATAAACGAAAAGTGGTACAGATATGCTAATGTCCTAACACGAGCGAGGAAAAACACCTGTGAACCAAATAAGCGAGACTTGGCACCGTGAATGAAGTGTTAAAATAATACCTTCTAGAATGCCTGCGGAGCATTTTACTCCTTAATAATGCATTATTGCACGTGTTAGAAATTTTACTCCGAAATTTATTAACATAGAAACGTAACAAGGGAATTTCTCAAAACGGAGTTTTCTTAGAGGGTGAGAGGTTCTTTAATATAGACCTATGGATTAAATTTTAACCGGACTGCTAGCGAGGATCGAGAGTGGGAATAAATAACAAAGCGAAATAAATTCTAAGATAACGAAAGTGGTACAGAAGCTAAGGTCTAACACGGAGCTAGGAAAAACCTGTGAACCAAATAAAGCAGAATGGCACCCGTGCATGAAGTGTTAAAATATATCGTTCTAGAAAGCCGGCGGAGGCATTTTACTCCTTAATAATGCGTTTGCACGTGTGTAAGGAAAATTTTATCCGAAATTAATAACTTAGACGTACAGGTATAGCTCACAATCGGAGTT